ATACTTTCAACAATAAAGACTTTTTAAAAAATAGCATCTCACAAACAGCAGCATAAAAGAGGTAAAAAAAAATGAGGAATCAGTCCTCTTGAGAATATGCCAAGTCTGGTTCAAGTTAACCAAAGAGTAAAAACAAACAACAAAAATAACAAAAGCCACCAAGTGTCAGCAAACCTCACCCCAGCAATTGCATGTGCGAGTAATGTCTTCCCGCAGCCCGGCGGTCCGTGCAGGAGAACTCCACGGGGGGGTGTGACACCCAGGTGCTGGTACACCTCCGGGTGACGCATGTGGATGAGCATCTTGCAGACTTCCTAGCAGGGAGGAGACGGCAGAGATGTCTTTCCCAGGCCAAGGGAGAAAGAATCAACACGGAATGAAATGTCCTACGCTTTGGAGCAGCAAAATATAGGAGGGAGAGTATATGCTTTGGGTTTAGACCTGACCTTGACTTCCAGCTCTGGTACCGACTGCATGACTTCAGCAATAACATCGCTAAGCTTCCATTTCCTAATGTCTACCTTGCAGGTGTACTGAAAAGTAACTAGCAGGGTAACTGGAATAGAGCAGACACTAAAACATACGCAGGAACCATTATTATTATTACTACTTTTAAATAACAGCACTTACAAAGCGTGTGGCTTATGCACACTACAATTAAAGTGGTGACAAAGTTGAAGCTATTCTGGTGCTTTTATCCCTCAATACCCTGCGGGGTACAAGTTAGGTTTGCTCTTCTCCCCTTCCCAGTCTCCTTTCCTACACCCAGTTCCTATTAGGGACAAAGAAGTGGACTTGAGTTGCATAACTGATTAGCAATACCCACTGGAAGTAAAATTCTGAATCTGAATAACCTTTAGTGTCACATCATTGCCTCCGACATCTTCAAACTTCACGCTGGAGGTCTGGAAGTCTAGCCTGGCTTGAGCTGGTAAACGAAAAGAGAGGAAGAGAAAAGATTAGTGATTCAGCAGTAACTCAGAATTATATTTAATATCTGTTAAGTAAACAAAGATCCATTAGCTATTGACACGTTTCCTAGTAAATGTCTGCACCTGGAAGGTCCCCCAAGCAAACCAGCCTGGAGGAGTGATGCCTCCCTCAAAGCAGACACGGCCACCGCCACCCACAAGACCTGCGTCGCACCTTTCTTCTGCAGGACGGCTTCTATTTCTCCATCGACTTCCTGAAGATCTTCTTTCTTCCTTTTGCTTCCTCTGCTCTTTAACCTGCCTTTCCTTTTCTTGTTACTCTCCAGAAGAGACGGCTCCTTGGAATCCTGGATGATTAAAGCAAAGAGATTTGGAAAAGATCCATTACTAACTCCAAAGGAGCAAGATTTTGGCAAACCAAAAGGCTTGGTTCTTGGAAACCACTTAGAGATGCCCTGTCCAAGAGAAATACAACGC